AACAGAGAGAGACAGAGAAAGCTCAGAGGTAAAATGCATAATTAAAAATGTGGGATTCGCCTTTAGAAATTTTACTAAAAACCTTTGAAAGTAAATTAAAATAATATAACAAGAATACATTGGAAGGGAACATTAGATAATCAGTCACTCATATTGTGTTAATACTTTGTGATTTTCTTTAAAAAGCACAACTAACCTATGTTTCTTTAACAGTGTGCAGAATTTACTCCCTGAATTTTTAAATTGAGATGGAAACGCAATCCAATGCAGCACACTTGAACAGTTATGAACACGATTTGGTCGAGGTAGATTTCTTTTCAGTGGTGGAAATACATTTCAAGATGTCCAAAGGATTTTTAAGTGCATTTATCTGAGCAACTGAAATATATATATTTGATGTTATCGCGTTATGGACAGGCTGTCTCGTAAACATGATTAATTAGAAATAGTTTGGCTTAGCTTACTGGTTTGCTCATCAAAGGAATAAAGCATTACTGAAGACTTGCATCAATATTCTTTTTAAATACCATAACCACAGTGTGGCTCCTAAAAATAATGTTTTCCTAATTCTCTTTTGACATCCTTATGTGTGTATTTTCAATAACAGTAAAGTAAAAGAAGGCTAGGATTTATTTAGGATTAGAGTCTAATAAAAAGAAAGGGGATAGCATACATTTAATAAAAATAACCCCTAAAGATTATCTCTATTATATATGATACATGTTTATTCATTGATATTTGCCAAAAATAAATAAATAAAAAGAAAAACCAAAATGTACAAAATTACAATTTACATCCACACAACCACTGTTAGCATGTTAGCATATTTCTTCAAAGTATTCTTTTCTATACTTTTATTGTTGATGCTATTTCTGTTATTGATTAAAAATAACAATTTTTAACTATGATAAAGAATAACAAAGAGAAGAAAAATAGAGCAAAAGATGAGGAAGAAATGGATCAGGAAATAGAAGAGAAAAATTTTGCTTCAGGTGCTTTCGAAATCCTGAACATTATTTTCTCCTGACAGTCTGAAATAGGTGTGATGAATGCAAAGACTCAGAAGCCATGTAACTACTGGGCAACAAAACTTGCACATTTTGAATTCAGCACAATGTTTTCTGGGCTTGTTTCCTATCAGGATAAAAGAAAATAATAAAATAAAAATAATCCTCATAAAATCAAATGCATATTTGAAATGCCACTGAATGCACCTTATGTACAATATCATGCAAATTCTATTATTTCAAAATCATAAATATTTATTATTTGACACACTGTGCCTGACCCAAGGTAGGTCAGGCTCTCAATTTTTTGGAGGAAATAAATAACATTTTTTACTACAATAGAGTGTGAAAATAACATACTGGGAATAGTTGGTCTGCACTCAGAAAGATGTTGTATCATTGTTGGGAAGATGAACCAGCACATGAATATGTGAACTGTGTGTGAAAGGGAAAATCTAGAGAAATTCAGAGAAAATAATGGCCAGTGGATCCTTGAGCTGTGAGAAAAAAATTCATGGAGAGATTTGAGCTGGAACTTAAAGCTAAGTAGAATGTATATTGTTTATTTTAGTAATTTGAAGAAGCAGAGATATCACTGATAAGACCAATAGTGTTACAGAGCAAAATGGTATTCAGCCATCTGCTGCCATTCTCAACCGCAAAACAGAGATTGGTGGGGAAGAAAAACGGTTTTTATTAACAGGGTGTCCAATTTGGGGGAGTGGAAGCTCCCCTGCTCTAAGCCATGCTCTTTTGCAAAATACAGAAATCTTTTTTCCTCCCCCAAACTGAAACCCAAATCCATGCTCAGAGGTCCCCCTTCATTCTTATCTTTCTCCCTGTAACCTAAGGCTGCTCCATAAATGGGGGTCTATCTCTTCAGAGCCAGGCTCTCTCTCTCTCTCTCTTTCTGGAATTTGCAATTGTTAGGCCAGTGTTTCCACTGTCTTGCAGCAGCTTTCTCCCTCTCCTGAGGCTGGGGCCCACTGCCAGATCACTGTAGCTGGTCCTGCAAGGGGCTAATTATACTGGGCCCCAGCATCGAAGGCTACTTGTACCCTCCAAGGCTGAGGAGCATTCCTGGGCCGCACATCTGTGCACAGCTTGGCACAGAGAATAGGACCAGTACAGCCCTACCAGAGTCTACAGCGGGCAAAGTGCACGTTGGGCAGAAGCCTGTTCCAGACCATACAAAGCCTGGTCAGTGCAAGAGCTGCAAGCAGGGCTCAGTGTCCGGTGGGGCCACCACTGTCAGGGCACAGTGTCCTGCACGTGGGACTCAGCTTCCGCTGGCTGACTCCCAACCATGCAAGAGAACACAAAAGGGCTGTGAGTGGGGTCTGGCACACATCAGGTCTTGCAAACACCTGAGTAGGGTGGGAGAAATGCAAACGTGGTTGTGAGTGGGGTCCCACACTTTTCAGGTCCCATGAATGCCCAGGAGGGTCATCATTGTGTTACATGCATGTTATGACTTTTTCAGGCCCACCAGGCTCTGTGCAAGCTGCTTCCAACTGCATCATACCACACTGCTCAGCTGCTGGGACAATGTGTGCTGGCACCATGCTGGCTTGTTTAATGTTGTCTGAGGGTGTGAAAAGGCTGTCACACGGTTTTGGTTGAGGCTTCAATCAGTGCTTCCTGACCCCTCCCAGGGGTCCCTCTGTGGAGTGCATGCTCTTGCATTGCTTCTGGGGTCCCTCTCCCTGTTCCTCAGTACTCTGGCCAAACCCTTGTGTTAGAATAGCAGGAAGAAAAGTTGAGAGAAGATAACTGGGCATGAAGTGCCTAGGAAAGAGTATGGAATTAGAAGACTAAATGAAGAACAATATACTGAATGCTTGTATGTAGGATAAAGCTACAAGACAGTTCTCATGGAATAAACAGATATCAAGTAAGTATTTATAACTGATGACATTTGCAAAGCTGCAGTTGCATACCAGGAATATTAGACTGTAACTGGAACATAGACCACGTGGGAAAACGGGTGTGCCGCCAGTGTGCCTGTATGTTGTCCTTCACTACCCCTTTGACATTCGGTGGAAGGTAATCTCTTCCTGCTCCTATGAAAACTTTGGTAGTGTTATCTCTCTCTTATGAACGCTTTAAATCACAAATACTTAATAAATTAGAAATTAGAGTGCTGTCCCTTGCTATAGTCAAAGTTTCCAAGTCTATTCAATATGGCTGCCTTCCTCTCTCTTTGTCGTTGAGCAACTTACCTTTGTTGTTTCTCATTCTTCTGGGGAAGCATTGAGAGAAAAGGGAAACCTGGCCCATCCCTAAAGCTGTTTTGAGGGTGCTTGTGTGTGTTTTCACTAGAGCCTCTTGCTCATGCTTTCCTAGTATGAGGTGATGTGTTTTCCTTTTGCAGATTGCATACCCCTTTCTTTATGACCTAAAAGATCTTAGGTTCCTTTAGCTTCTTTCAGCTGAAGCTTTCTACCCCAACCAGATGACACTGTTAGACAGTACCTAAGTCAACTCCCCATCTGTTTTCTGTTATGCGAGCCTCACAACTCTTCTCAGGGACCCTTGCACAGCCTTTGCCCCTGTGGATTCTGGGAATGCAGACTGGTTCAAAAGCAACCCCCTCTCCATGAGCTCATTTCTTAGCATCATTGCTCATTGTTTTTTAATTTTCTGGACAATATGTCAGACTCCAGTTTCCTATGCTTCTTTTACTGCAAGTGATAAATAGTGAGCCCTTAAAACTGTCTCTTTGAAACCTCTTTTATAAGTTTGAGGTACAGATGAAGAGACCTTCTCCATTGATGTATGTTGGTCTCACAGCCTAACTATTCCCCAAAATATCATCTTCAAAAGTTCTCTCAATATAAATAAGAGGTTGAAGACACACAAAACCCATTTTGATATTTTTCTCTAAAAGTTTCCATCTTGTCCTGGCACCTCACTTTGGTATATGTTTAGGGATTCAGCTAAAACTCTCACATTAAACCCTCTTCTAGAAGCAGATAGCAGAGGCACTAACATAGTTTGTGAGACTAGGAAGAATTTTCCTGAGAAAATGATGCGAAAAATTCCATGAAATTAAAAAAAAAAAGAACATTTCAATAATGGATGGGTGCTCTATGGTGTTAAAAGCTCTGAGAAGTCAGGTAGAAGAAGAACTGAGAAGCCATTTTCTTTGGTAGTGCAAAGGTTGTTGGTGATGTTGGCAAGAACAGTTCCTGTGGGGAAGTGGAGGCAGAAATTGAACCCTATGAGGTTGATGAAAGAGGGGGAAGTAAGGAGATGGAGACCACACAATTTTAAACTTCAGAAAGTTTTATGTAAAAAAGAGGAAAATATGGGGAATTCTCTTAAATGTTAGAGGCAGAAGGCATTTCCGTGCCATGGGAAGGTGTTGGGAAATAAGGAGTTCAGGATACCAGAGAGAGAGGTGATCATCCGAAGGATAGGAGGGTTCGAGAAGGCTAGAGGATCTGGGACCTGGCGTGGAGGTAATGATTAGCCTTGGGCAGAGAAATGCGTTCTCCTACTGGAGCACTGGGAAGAAAGAGAATTAGTGTGGATTTAGGGCAAAATTGAAGATTTGATGTTTGAAAGCTGAGGGATTTATGGCCTAATGGCAAAGTCTTGGAATAGAGGACTTTTGGGGGGGGGGGTTGGGAGGAATGGGGTATATAGAATTGGAAAAGTAAAGTGAAACTGAATAACAGAAGGCCTTAAATGTTTTCCTATAGTTGACATAATGAGAGACATGGTTCATAGCAAAATTATAAAATATATAAATATGAGGTCTTAATGATTAATAATTTAAATCAGTGCTTTCTCTGTACTAGAGCCTCTGCTAAGCACTTTATAAACATGTATCCAATTCCCCATTTCCATTTAACCTGGACTTTGGCTCACTTCCAATTTCCTTTTGCTCTCACAAATCATTCTTTATGCAAGGCCAAAGTGGGCCTTTTAAATATACAAAATGTGTCAGTGTGGTACTCCGCTTATACCCTCGCATGTCTCCCACAGGCCTGGAGACAAGTCCTGCCTGTTTTGGACCCTGCCTAGCTCTTCGACCTCACCTTTTCCTTTGTGGTGCATTGTAGTATTTTGGAGTTATTGTAAGTAGATGTCTTTTATTTCATTTAATTTTTCAAACAAGTTTGTATAGGAGTATAAAAAACTATTGATTTTTATTTCAGTCAGTTTACAGTAGGTAATATTTCAAAACATTATTGGGTTAAAACTTTCCACGATGCACATGTGGAAAGAAGGAACCCACTACAATGAAACTCTCCCCACCCCATCCCAAACGCTGGGTTCCTTGCTCATATAGCTTGAAATCTTATTTTGGTTTTAGTAAGGAAAAGAAAGCTCCACAGAATGTTAAATTCTCATTTTTACAGAGGAACAGGAAAAATCAACGCATGACGCTGAGAATTTTGGGGAAAATGCCAACATTTTGTTTCCCACTAGCCTATTTATTCAAATCTCGCTCTAGCTCCATTTGTTTTTATATAGCTCTTAACATGAGTAAATGTGTATTGGGCATAATATCAAAATAAATGTTCTTTTATTTGTCATAGTGATGCTTTTTTATTTTTATATTCTTATTCCATATTTAAAGGAACCCTTAAATTTAGGGAAGTTTTACTAAGCCATTAACATTTTCTGTGGGGATAAAACATGGCTAGTGAGGTTTTAGCATGAAAATGTTTTTTCTTTTCTTTTGATTTTTGTAAAGCTAAGTTAAAAAGAAATTGTCTTGACATCCCTAAATCTTAAGGTGACCAAAAATAAATAAAGAAGATGATAAAGACATTGGTTTGGTTTCAGTAGTTCTTAGTATTCTAGAAATTTTAAAAAAATGAAAAAAAGAAACGGAAAACAATTCCTACTTGAACATTTTGAGAGAAGATAATTAGAATGATCACTTAAAATTTCAGTGTGATCTGAAAAAACTGACATTCAACTATTTCAAAAATTTTTCAATGTCAAGAGATTACAAATAGTGTTTTTAAAGGAATGTTAGAAAATATGAAGATATTTAAATAATTAAAGCACCTAAATTAATGTATTTGAAATATTCTATACATTTGAAAAAATGTATATTTGTGTATGATTTATGACCTGCTATTTATTTTAATAAAAGTTTTCAGGAACTTCTTTCACTAGTACTCCCTTCCAATATCCCTGAAAATACAATGCTCATGTAGTAATTGGCAAGGAAATGACTATCATTCACAAAAGCCACAAAATACATCTTAATTCAACATAGTTAAGAGCTTTCTTCGACTTTTACTATATACACATAGATTGATTTTGGCTTTGTTATGGAGCATTTACATTCAATTATATAATTTGTTCTAACCAAAAATTTTTCTGCTCTATCTTAATAGCTTTCATGACCTCTACTCAGATGTTCTTGCCTTGCTAATCTTATATTTGCTTTAGAGAAACATAAATTACTAGGAAGAACCAGTAAAGAGGATATAACCAAGCACCAATAAAGCATATCTGATACATGATGATCTAGAAGGGCTACTAATTGAGCCAGTCCTTTCATATTTTGCAAGTTATTTGGTGGTTTAGCCAGAACGTCAGAGAAGACAAACATCTTTATGCTCCCATCATACTCTCTAGGTAGCATTTCAGACTTTAGAAGTGGTTCCTAAAGTGTGATCTGGGACCAGCAGCATCAACAATCTCCTGAAAACTTGTTAGAAATACAAATTCTTGGGCATCACCCAGACTTGCTGAATCAAAACTCCAGAGTGTGGAGCCTCCAGGCAATTCTGAGGACCATTGTCCAATAGGCTGTGCACAGCTCTGGCACAGTTACAAGGGGAGGAAATAGAACGCCACAAGGAAGAACGTGATAGACTTATTACGTGTGGTTGTATTCTGATCTATATAACTTAGGATTTTTTGTCACATGAGACAGAAATTCCAACACAAACTGGCTCAAGTAAAAAAGAGTATTTATTCACTCAATAACTAACCATCTGGAGATTAGTAAGAGTAAGAGGCAGCATTTATTGACACTAATATATTCAGGCACAGGTCTAATTGCTTGAAGTGGGTTAATACTCACAAAGACTCCCCGAAGATGATAGCATAATTTATTCTATACTAGAGAGGCAGAAGCTGAGGTATAGGGAAGTTGAGTAGCGAGGCTGGAATTCAAACCTAGGCAGTGGAGCTGGCTTCAGTTTGGCTGGATCAGATGGGCCAGGTCCTATCACTGGAGATCTATCTTTCCACTCCCAGAGTTTAGCAGAAGTATGAGTCTGACCTACATGGACGCAGGGTTACATGCTCATCTCTGAACCATTCACTATGGGCAAGGTGATGGGATACACTGATCAGCTAATAACAATCAGGGCCCATCCAGACCTGAGAGTAAAGTGAGGAAATCAACCCTCATCACAGGGTACTGTTTTATGAGAATAGGGGTGAATGGGTAATGCTCTACTACAAAGGGCAGAGAAAATCACCAAAGACATAGCTTCATTACTGAAAACCTATTGGAGTCCAAATGGCATAGCTTCATGCCAATTAGTTTTGACAAAGAAGTGTTCGTTAGATCATATTATTGACCCATGAAAAAGGTAGAGATGTGTGAGGATCTGAGGGACAACTATCATTAGTGATAAGGTTTGCCAAGATTTCTTCTCTTCACTTTTCCACTTGAATTTCTCATGGATGCTATGCTCAACAGCAAACAATTTCATCCTCTAGTTCTAAGTTCAGTAAACCTAGAGAAGAGCTTGTATTATCTAATCTTGGATTGTGAGTCCAGCCCTGAGGGACTCAGCTATGGCAAGAGAACCAAATCAAGAATAGGGGCTGTCTTGTAAATGCCATTGGATTTTACTAAACAGCCATTCTCTCTCCTTTCTCCTTTCAAGTCAAACTTTAATTTTGTTCAGATATCTACTTTCCTTTGAACAAGCCCATCCTTGCTAAATGATGGCTTCAAACTCCAGCCTTAGGTGGTGAATTGCAATTGATAGAAGCTAATCCCTTGCAGGTATTGGTTTAGAAATAGACATATAATACAGTTTTGGACCTAAAGTGATATAAGAAGACTCTACTGAGGGGTTTCTGGGATTGGTTTACCTTGGTGAGAAAAATAAACTTATGAGATCTTCAAAATATTCTCTAGTTAGAGTGAAATACAGCAGCTAAAAACAGAATCAGGGTACTACTCAAGTTGACTTTGTCGTCACCAGAATTGGGTTTCACTTTTGATGGCTATTTAAAAATAATTGTTGGTGTCTCTACTTCATAAATGGGTAGCCATTTATTTGTTTTTATCTTTAAGTATCCATATACCACATGTATTTTATTTTAAACATATAAAGGAAAGATTAAATAATGACTTCATTTGGTTAGCATTATACTTTTTTCCTCCACCACTCTTCACCTCCATGATATTTTTGTTAGTAGAGTTTAATACTATTGATACATTTTCCTATAGACAAATAAATGCTGGAGTGTTTCATTTTTAATTTTTACAGACTGTGTGACCTGTGAGTAGTTGCCCTCCAAGAGCTAAAAATTAAGACTCACTGGTTTAAGTCAACATTGTGAGTCCCTATTTCATTTTTATATATAATAGACATTTTGTGCATGTTTCTTTCTTGATGATCAACTCAAAGAAGCTGATTAAGAATGAGCATAGTAATATTAAAGAATAATTTAAGAACTTAAAAAAAACATATATATTATAAAAATAGTGAGTAAGTATATATCTCAAATATGTATTTAACTCACTAGTTAGGGAAGCAAGATGATAAACTGACTCAAAGAGCTTTTGAGGAACTGAACAAAAAATTTTGGAATTCAGGCTAGATACAAACCTGGATAACATTTTATCAAACCATATCTTTGGTCATGATTTCAACCAGACAAAAATTATTTGCATTTCTACAGATAAACTCTACACGGTGACCTGGAACATTATAGAGTTTGTACTCTGATCAGTAATTTCAGTAATTCTTGTGTGAGCCTATCAAACAATCCTCCTGTGTGACATATAATCATCCTTTTATGTCACTGTCCAGTTTTCCAGATATTTTTCTAAATAGCAATAATACTACACTGTTATGAAGATTAATGAAATATGTAAAAATGCTTTATAAAAGTGTAAATGGATGTTTTCATAGGTTATTACCAGAAATACACAGCATTCCAAAGGCAAGCTTGACAGAAAGGAGTCAAGTTAGAGTTAGAAGGTCCACGTTCTGTTTTCCTGGGATTCTAAGACAGAGACATCAGCGCCCCCCAGGGCAGGATGAGAACGTGTTATGTCAACTGGAACACGATATGCAAAAAGTTAGAGGAACCACAAATTCTTTTACTTCTCTGGGGAGAAATGTTGCAAAATAAAATTATATTTGTTTTCTTGCCTTAGCCTGAGAACAAAGCTCAGGAAAAACTGCGAATTTCCTGCTTCTTTAGTGCAAGTAATGTGTGTTGAGCTCGAACGAGTTGCCTATGTGTCCCACTGTAGAGAGACGAAGGCAAGGAAGATACACGTTCTCCTCATGAGAATCCTGAATCGGTGGCAGGGATAACACAAAAATAACCAGCTGGTTAATTTACTGTTTCTTCAATCACTTGTAAGTTGGTAGCAGTATTTCTTGCATTTTCCTGGGTACCATTCACATTGAACTGCGTGTAAAACTTCCGGTTACTCTGTCTTTAAATTTTCTCTTTCTTCTCATATTTATAAATATAAAGTAATTGGAAAAAATTATAATAGAAAAATACTCTCTATAAGAGTTCTAATTTTTTAACAATATGAGATTTAACATATCTAAGAAGATTGTTAGTGTATTTGATACCCAGTAAGAAAAAGAAGCATACAGTACAAAGAGTTCCTCCTGATATTTCCTGTACCCAACTGGCACTGTACATAGTTATTGCAATATTATTGACTATATTTCCTATGCTTCACTTTATATCCTCGACTGTCTAACATTATGTTGTACACCTGAAACCAATATAAAATAATATTAACAACTGTAATAATATGACAATATAAATAATATTTAAAAACTGTAAAAAAAACTGTAAACTGTAATTAAAAAAACAAAAATTAAAAAATAAAGAGAAGATCTCTGTTCAAGAAACCAAATTAAAATAACTTTAGATCTCAAGATTTTTCCAGGGTTTCTGTAAAGTTTCCTGAGTATAATAATAACAATTCTAAAGAAATAGTGTCTCTTTTTTACTACAAATTGTAATTAATTGTTAATATAGCTAAGTGAAATAAATCAGAAAGAAAAAGTATAAAACAATGTGAAGGATACAAAACTGAAAGCAACAAATGAACAACCAAGAAGAACAAACAAACTTAAGCTTATACCCATAGACCACAGCACGGTGGTTACCGGAGGGAAGCGGGGTGGAGGGGTAATAAAGAGTAAAGGGGGTCAAATACAGGGTCATGGAAGAAGATTTGACTTTGGGTGGTGGACACTCAAGGTAATACACAGACGATGTAGCATAGAATTATACACTGAAAATGTATATAATTTTATATACTTATGTATATAATTATATATTTATTGTCAGCCCAATAAATTTAATTTAAAAACATAGTTAAACTAAACCAACAACATAACCCACAAAAGAAAAGCAGGCTATTGAAATGAAACAATGGGAAAAAAGAAGACTACCTCTGAATTACAGTGATTATTATAATGAATTCTAACTATATGTCCCTTTTGTGTTTGTAAAAAATCCCAACATATGCCCTTACAATTTTGGTAGAAAATTATTTATACTAATAATTACTTGATATTTTGCCATAATTTATCACAAGTTTTATTTTTTCAAAAATTTTAAAATTTATTTTTAGAGAAATGGTAAAGGAGGAAGAGAGGGAGAAAAACATGAATGTGTGAGAGAAACATCAATTGGTTGCCTCTTGCACAACCCCAGCTGGGAACCTTGCCTGCAACCCAGGCATGTGCCTTGACTGGGAATTGAACATGCAGCCTCTCAGGTGGCAGGCTGGTGCTCAAGCCATTGAGCCACACCAGCCAGGCTATTCCAGTTTTTGAAGTATAATGTTTGAAACGACCAAGAGCTGCTTGGAGGATGAAATGCATCTGCAATATTATTACACTCTGTAAACACCAATGAAAGAAAAACTCAAATACCATATACAGTTTGCTACTGTATTTTTTCCAGACGTACTCTGGTGCATTATCACTGTTTACTCAAAAAAATCTTTATAGCATTAATGTGGCTTTAACTTTATAATAAATTTAACCTAATAGAATTACAAATAGTTCTGGTAAAAGTTCTAGAGGCTATCTGGGCTGAATTGGTAAAACTGAGAATTATCATTCATCAATGCTATAAGCTATTTCCATATGTTAACCTGAGATGGCTGCCAAATGTTATTTAGTGAAAAAAACTAAATTGTGAGATCATATGTATAGTTGGATTCCATTTATAATGAAATTAAAACACAAGAGTTTAATTTATGTTTCAGTGTGGAACAGAAACCAATGCAGTCATCATTACTGGTGAGTGGAAGCCAATCTGTGTATCTTTTCTTTCCAGTCTTTGAATTTACAACACTGAAATTATATATATATATATATAATTATATATGTATATATAATTATATGTGTGATTATGTAACCACACATATGCAATTATATGTGAGTGTGTACATATATGCACACATATGCATATATGTGCATATACTCACACATATATGTATACACATTTGGCCATCTATTTACTTGTGTGCTGTTTGATTTTTTATAATAAACATACATATATATACTCTAAAATATAGTAAAAAGGACAAGTAATTTTTAAAAGATGAATTATAAATACTACAAAAATACATATATACTCAAATACATATTTTATATAAATAAAGCAACTTATAGAATAACATGATGTTTCCTATTTATGTTAAAGATAAAGAAAAGCAAACTATTGAGAGTAATGTTGAAGAGAGACTTTACTTTTTCCTATTCTGTGTTGAATTTTGTACAGTAAGTCTATACTTATATACTTAATGTGTTACTTAAGAAAAATGATTTTATTTGCATAGAATTACCTAAAGAATGAGTCATAAAAATATTTTAAGAAACTAATATACAGTCAATGATTTAATGGGAAAATATGTTTGCCTTTATAGAGGAATCTCAATATTAATCAGAATATTCATTTGTGAACTTTTCTGAAATATTCTTTTTGATATTTTTCCCAACCTTTCTAAGAAATCAAGTCATTTATTTCAGTATTGTATTTTTTATGCTTCATGTCTCTATGAGATCTGCTTTACTGCTTGATATTTAAAATATCAACTTTTTATTCTTCCAAGATCAGATGAGGTTGGGTGTGTTCAGTATGTTATGGCCATGGAATATATCTTCATTCATGATAAGGATATTTTGTGACTTTTAATATTGACACATTAATTTTTCTTTCTCATGGAATGGTTGTGTCTTTCTTTCATAGAGCTCGCACTTGTACTCCTCAGATGTCTGTTTATTCCTTCCTCTGTGTTCACATTTGTGGAATCGCCATCTTTCTTGCTGGTGATGTGTAACTGAAGGGAGAGATGACGACGCAGAGCCAGCTGCCACTCTTCTTGGTGAAATGACCTGTGTATTGGGGGATGGCCGCAAAGAGAGAAGAGCCTCTGGTGTTGCATTTTGTAACCTGCCCCCCATCCATCCGGACCAAGCATTGAATTTTCTTTCTGAAGGCTCCCCCTCCCTCTTGCCATTACCCAGTAGGGGCTTGGTGATGGGAAGCTAAATAGTCCTTTTGTGTTAGGCAGTTACTCTGTTTTTCCTATCCACCCAGAGACCAGCGATGTCCAGATGAACTGCCACTTGTGGCAGGCGCTGGACTGGAGCTTATGTTTTCTGTCTACTCCTCGCATTCAGTGTAAAGTATAAAGAAAAAAGTACACAACTAGAAAGCATTTTTCCTGGGTCTGTGCAAACTGGCCTACCTTCTGGTTCTCCATTGCTTTTTCACAGTGTTTGCGTTAGGTTCTGGAGTCCATCGAATTCCTTTTTAACTTCGTGGCCTCTCCAGCTTGGGGTTCAGGGGAAGGGATGAGTATCCGTGCTTGCTCAGCACTGATCCTGACACTATACCAAACCCCATCGTGGAATGTATCCACCCTCAGTCTCTCCCCTTACATTTTTCTTATACTTCAGACATGTCATTTCTCAGGAAAACTTGACTCACAGATTAATATGTATTTTCTAGTACTTTTCCACATGACCTGACACTTGGAATTCAGTAATAATTCTTTCGATAAGTACCCATCTTTTTAGATATTAAGGTCCATGAGAGCAAGGGATGTGTCTGGTTTTCTCGGTGCAGCTTTTACGTATGACATCTTTCCTAATGCTTTGACACTAGGTGAGACGTGATGAACATGCGTTCAAACATAAAATAAGGGATGAAGGAACAAAGGAAAGAAAACTAGATCTGTTTTTGTTAAAGTAAAAATGTAATGTATATTTACTCAAGTAATCTACCTCTGAATTAGTCACATCTGTAATATATAAAAAGCATGGAACCACAGACTGGTTTCATCCTGGATGTTTAATAGCATTTGACCTTCTCATTTTATGAATATTGTGATATAGACCAAAAGTAGATGAATTTCCTGGAAAAGAAACATAAGTTACAGCATCAAATAAAAATGAATTCTGTATTATCTACTGTGAATGAATAATAAAGTGTTAACTGTGTAAAAACTCTTATGAAGAAGAGACTATAGAATTCCAAGGATGCAAAGAATTCTTACTTAAAAGACTGAAAATTTAAGTGACACATTTAGCAAAAATTAATTTTTTACTAAAAAAATTACCACAGAAAACCAGTGAAGATTAAAATAAGTAGAGCAATAAAGAAAAAAGGAAACGATAGGCACAATTTCAAGATTCTTCTTTTAAACATATGAACAATTAATTAATTTTTCTCTATGTTTTCTAATACATAAGTGAATTACTCAAACTATTGTCTACAAGTTTCCTAAACCAGATACTACATTTCCAGGCACACTCTTCATGTGCTCATGCTCTATCAGGAGATAAAATTAATTATAACCTTTGATTACTTTCTTTCCTCCTGGGGCACTAAGCTATGGTGGAGGCACTTGGTGCTTGTGTGCTATCCTCTTATTTACTTCAATTCTCCTTTTCTGGCACAATACTTTAATCTCAGAGATACACGTGCACACCTGAATGGGCAAGACTTCTCCCTGCCATCTCCCCTCTCATATACATCAAGTTCCCCAGGGTTGGATGGTCATCTTTATTTGTGATCTATAATAAAAAGGTAAAGTTTCTTCACTTTGCAAAGAAGCAATCAAGAAACAGTTTATCTACAAAATCTCTGCTTTCCTCAGTATTAATGTCTTTTACAATACAATTTCAGCTCAGTGCCAGTTTGTTTTGTTCTTTTAGCTTGCTGTTGAGCCAACTTTCACTCCTCCATGGAAAATGCGCACTGTGGAAGTTATCAACTACCAATTACGGTTGTTCCAAGTGCTAGGAAGGAAAACAAAACAAAGCTCTCAGCAGGCAAGGCTTATGCTGATAACTGGAAAACACCAAATTAAGACTAATTCACATAACTTCAGAGCATGACTCAGAGCCGCAGAGCATGAGTCATGGACTTTCATTGAGATAGGGCTGGCAGTACACACGGAAGAGCTCAGTGTATGCAAACACAGGGTAAAAAATGCACAAATTCGTCATGGGCAGATCAGTGTGTTGCAAATACGCGTATTATGACCAGAACTGTCATAGAAATAAAGATTAGTAGCAGCTGTGAAGAAATTATTGTTTCAAGTGACTCAGAATAGAGTATATTGTAAAATAGAGGCTCTGTTTATTATTGAGATAGTCACTATGACTATGAAATTCCAGTATGAGAAGGAGTTTCTTTCGTACTTAATGGAACCAATAAGCCATAGCTGCTTGATGTCATGAGAAGAAAAGCGAAAGCAGGACACCCCGTGTCAAATCATCTGTGGCATCCACTCCTTCTATCTCCTCTGCCTGTGATTGGCCCAAGTCTATGGTTATCAGACTCACTCTCTGTCCCCACTGTGTATCCTGCCAACCTTTTGGCACACAACTCTATTTTCCAACTCTTCTCTCGTCATGTGCTGTGGACCACATTATTTTTTTCCACCCTTGGATCTATTTTCTATGAGCACTGCTAAGGATTTACCAGAAATCTAAGTTACTCTGAAGTTTTATCTCCAGCTTTGTTTGTTGCTTTCCCCCACGACTTCCCCCTCCTCCATCTCCAGGTTTACAAAGATACTTCACTCTATTTCCTGACACTAAGGTGTGTGTTAACTTCTCAGCCAGCATTAGCAGTGGCTTTTATTATAGATCTTACAGACAGAGACTACTAAGGAATACACTGAAGGACATTCATTTCCAGGTCAGGGGAAATAAAATATGGATTCAGAGATCTCCAAATCACTGGATATGGTAATTGGACATAAAGGTAAACAGATTTTTTTGATAGAGGAGGTAGTCAGATGAGTGAGGATAAGTGGTAACACAGGAGAGTAATAGAATGGTCACATAGAGGATGGCACTAGGAAGAGAGCAGGAAATTCATGCTGTGAAAGGTTTTAGGAACATTGGTCTGACGTCTTGATAGGAAAACACAGATGAAAGATAAACAGTCACTTCTAGTTCACATTCTTTGCTGAGTTATTACATCTGTGATCAGGATAGGAGGGAAGAAAGCAGATTCTGACTTTAAACAAACCTGGGTTTAGGGCCCAGCTCTATGGGTTACTGTTATGTGAACTTGGGCAAGAATAAGCCCTCTTCGGGCCTTTGTAAAACAGACAATAATTGTATCTACTTCTTTGAAATAGTTGCCCACGCTCACTGTTTTTACCTCTTAAACTCTCTCTCATCAAGATTTTGTCCTTATCAAGCCATCCACTCTTGCTCTGGTCACCAATACCACTTAGGCCACTAAATGCCTGTGTGGCCAATTCTCAGGACTCATGTTCTCAACTGGCAACTGGCTAAATGCCAGTTGCATTTAGCAGAGTTACGGCCTCCTTCCTTCTAGATATACTTTTTTCTCTTCATTTTGAAAACTCCAACATCTCCTAGTTTTCTCCTATGTCTCTGGTTGCTCCTTCTTTGTTTCTTCTTAGAGGTTTCTCCTTGTCTTTCCTAACTCCCAGTGTTAAAGTGCCACAGAATTTACTTCTTTTTCTTATTCTCCATGTAGCTTCCCTCCTTTGGACATAGCAACCTGTCTTGTGGATTCAAAGTCTACGTATATGCCATAGGAGGACAGCTGCAAGTAGAAGATTGAAGTGGGAGAAACTAGGAGTTTTGGACATGTTAAGGTTGAGATTTTCATTAACAATCCAAATGGGGGCTTCACTAGGCAATTTGATATTACAAGCCTGAAGTTCAGGAGAGAGGTCATAAGACCCAGAAAATCAGAGTCCATGATCAGTGTCCAAAAATTTTAATCTTCAAAGCATTTATATAAAGTACCTGATTATACATTTTATAAATACTTCATTTGTTGAGAAATAGTGTGATAAAAATTTAAGTTAGGATATATGAATGCTTTTATGACATAATGAAATATATCTTTTGTAATGGCAATGCCAAGACTAGGTTTAAGGGTGAAACACTATAAAAAGTTGTATCAAAGTCAGAAATGTCCACTCTAATTGCTATTATTTAGTAGTGAACTAGTTTTTCTAGTTTGACTATATTAGACAAGAGGAAAAATTAAGCTTATAAATATTAGAAGGAACGTATATAGTTACCTATATGTGTAGATAATTTGATTACTTATCTGGAGAACTCAAGAGAATTACTAATAAAAAAAGTCACCTAACTTTAAAATTTGTTTTACAGATTTTATTTTTATTTATTTTTTAGAGAGATGGGAAGGGAAGGAGAAGGGGAGAGAAACATTGACGTTGCCTCTTACATGCCCCTAACTGGGGACCCGGCCCACAACCCCAGCTGGGAACTGAACAGGCAACACTTTGGTTCCCAGGTCGATGCTCAATCCACTGAGCCACACCAGCCAGGCTGTATAAAATTTGCCAAATTTTATAAACAATAAGGAATCCAATAAGCTTTCTGCAACAGGATCAATAGTTGTTATTCAGGCAACAACCAGTTTAAAAAAAACATATTTGAGAAAGACTATTTCAATATTGTATAAAAGACTAAATACCTAGGAGTAAATTTTACATGAAAGGTCCAAGAACAATATGAAGAAAACTTTATATCAATATTGAGGGACCAAAACAAAGACATTAACAAATAAAAAAATTTTTGCATATTTAGAAAACAAAACGCACACTATCAAATACTAAGGTATAGTCTATATATTTAATATTACTCAAAAGAACTGTTTTAATTATTTTAATATATAAAAGCATGCAAAGTATTTAATATAATTTAAAAATAAACAACGTGCTGATAGAAACTTGTTCAGAGGATAGGAATACATGGTTTAAAGAAAACAAACGTACATGAAAACTACCTATGTGTGTGTACAGATTCAACTCATTTACTCTGAGTGAAATGAAAACTAAAACAACACTGAGATCTCATGTTTTACTTAGCAAACTTCAAATACAAAATGTTTCATTGTCTATTCTATGAGGCTAAGGGTGAGGATGAGGAAACATTAGCTCTTGTGCTTTTCTATACATTGTTACTACGATTATAAATTGGCGGGCCTTCTACCAGGTAAGATCTATACAAATCACAATGTGCATATTCTTTGAGTGAAAATTTCACTGCTGGGGCTTCATTCTAAAACTACACGGGCTAAATGATTTAGATATAAATTTATTCATTGCAGTATGTTCTGTAATTATAAAAGATTGTAACAAACTAAGTCACCGTTTCGTGGGAACTGGCTGAATGGGTGCCCGCACACCCACACGATGCACCATCGGCAGCTGAGAAAGAAGATTGGTAGTCTACTTACCGATAGGATTTCTGAGGTATATAACTCAGTGTAAAATGCAGGGCTTGGGACAGTGTGAATAAGATATACCCGATTTTATTAAAATATGCACATATTTCTACATTTATTTTATAATATGTACACTTTATAAATACATTTCATATTTATGCTTAGAATGCTCCGGAAAAGATTAACAAGAAACTGGGAACCTTTAGTGCTGTAAGGGTGAGAAATGAAGGATAAAAATCAGGATGTGGTAAAATGTTTCACTTTTGTCATTATGTTTTAGATTTTGACAATATTAACCATGAAAATAAAAGTATAAAAAGCATTGTACTATTAACACAATTTATAAACTGCTTGTTCTAATTTAGCATCTTTATTATAAAGAAGGAGAAAACCAGCCCCAGAATGGTGGTGATGGAATGTTACCCAGGTTTCTGGACCAGAGCTGGTCCAACATGACCCAGCAGACAGGACCAGGGCTGGATCTGGGATTTTCCACCTCCCACTTCAGGGCAAAGTCGCGGGCACCAGAAGGGAGCAAGCTGACATAACTGGATATAACTGAAAATCAATTAAAGTAACAAAGCCCAAGTTGATAGTGTATATTAATTTCAGATTATGTCTTGGTCTGATAAACAATATTCTGAAAATGTTGCCATCTCTCACCCATGAAGATGTCAGATATTTTTCCAATTCAACAGTGGGGACAGAAATTAAGCCTTCTTTATCTCTCA